CCCCCCCCCCGGTAGCCGGGCAAAGAAGGTTCAGTGGATCCACACTGCAGTTTGGTCCGTGGCCAAGGGGTCGCCAGCAATGTTCTCTCTAAGCTGTGGAGTCTTGTGAGCAAAAATTCTACTTTGTGAGCTAGTGGCATTAAAATTGTGAGTGAGTGATTTGGCTGCTGCATCTATTAGTTTGCTCTGGAGCCTTCCTTCCTGAGCTGAGGCAAAAATGGGTGAGCTGGAGGCTAAAAAACTGTGAGCTAGCTCACACTCACTCAGCTTAGAAGGAACACTGGTTGCCAGGCCTGCCTCTGTGCCCCGCAGCTGCCCAAGGCCTGCAGGGAGCTGGAAGCAGAGCTCCGCCATGCTCAAGCCAGCCAGGAGGGGCCCCTGTCCCACGAGCACTTCTGGCCCCACAGGTGTGGCTGCCTAGGCACACGGCCACCCCAGCAAGCAGGCCGGGGCCCCCGAAGTGGAGGAGGGCCGGCTCTCACAACCCAAAGGGAGCCCCGTCAGCTGAGCCCCAAAGAAGAAGAAACAGCAGGAGGAAGGAAGGAAGAGGACACAGGCTTTGCACCAGGCTCCAGGATCCCCCAATTTTATTAGCGGCAGCAGGGAACCAGAAGCTGCAGCACGCAGGCTATGACTGCATGGACAAGTGGACGCACCAGGCAGAAGTCCCTCCTAGGTAGGCAGGAGGTGGCTGGGGGTCTTCTGGAAACAGCACACCCAGGAACCAGTCAACAGCTCCAGCGTGCAAAGGAAGCAGAAGGCAGGACACCCCCAGCCGCACAGAAGACCCTCCCGACGGCCAGCGCACCCGGACAAGGAGTCCCTTCCTCATCAAGTCCAGGCCAGGAGGTGGCGCCTTGCCCCCCCCCTTGGGATATGCAGAACCCCGGGCAGCAGCCAGCCCGGCTTTTGAAAAGCAGCCCCCCCCCCAACCCACTGGAAGGTGAGGGAAGCGCAGCTGCCTCCGAGAGACTCCCCAGGCGGCCTTGCTGGGAGCAGGAGGGGGCAGGGAGCGCTGGCGGATGGGGGCCTCCCACGCGTGGACCGTCAGCGGAGCACCTGCCTTGCCCTTCCGCCTCAGGACGTGGCTGCTGCTGAGGACTTTGCAAGAGGGTCTTCGTGCGGATTGATGGGCCTCCGGGAAGGAGCAGCCGAGTGGGAGAATCTCTGAGAATAATCCTGACACCCCCCACCCCCGAAAGCCGTATTAGATTCAGGACGGCACGGTGGGCACCAGGCCCTGCCCTACGAACGCACTTTGCTGGCAGTTGCCTTCTGGAGCTGGGGAGGGAGGCCCACGAGGGCCAGGCAGGGAGCCTCCCTCTTCAGGAGGACCGCCAGCTGGCCGGGAGAGGGGCCATCCTCGCGGGAGACAGCCTCCTGGCCTTTTGGCAGCCAGGAACCCGCTGAGCAGAGTCCTTCCGGGCCGGGTTGGTGGCTCACTCAAGCCATGGGCAGCGGCACAGGAGAAGGCGATGGGTGAGCCTCCACCCACGGGGCAAAGGCCACCATCGCCCGGGTCCGGGGCAGGCAGATCTGCCGCCGCCACGGCCACCCATGGGGCTTGCTCCAGAACCCCTTCCCCCTTCTCCCTCCCCCCCCCCACTCCTGGTCATCACGGCAGGCCAGAGATTGGCAGGCTATCCGAGCAAAGGCCCTCTGCACGGCGACCCCCGTGCTCTTGGGCTGTCGAGTGGACACGGGGGGGGGGGCTCTCCTTCAACAGAAGGGCCTCCACGCCCGCCTCCCCGGGGCCTCGCCCCCTTCCTCACCTGCTTCCTGCAGATCTCCAGCGTGGCTCCTGCCCGCACGAGGCACCAGATCTCTCCCACCAGGGAGATCAAGATGTTCAGGACGTCTGTCCACCGGCCGACCGTCATCAGGAGGATCAAGAGGCCGCCCATCCTCACAAAGACCGTCTGGTAGGCCACCTGCTGGCTGGGGTTCAGCCGCTGCTCCTCTGCCCTCCGGCCAAGGGAAGGGAGAGCCTGCTTAGGCCGCTGCCGCCAAGGGGCCCTTCCATGGCGGAACAGCCTCCTCTTCCCGCCTGAGCAGCCCTGGGCGAGAGTCTCCTTCCTTCCTTCCTTCCTTCCTTCCTTCCTTCCTTCCTTCCTTCCTTCCTTCCTTCCTTCCTTCCTTCCTTCGTCAGGGCTGCTCCCGCACCCGAGCGGGGAGGGGGCTCCAGTTCACCACCACCCGTGAGGGAATGGGTTGGTAGTCTGTCCTCAAAGTGCCACACTCCCCTTCAGTAGCAAAGTAATTTCCACCGGGAAGCTACTGAGAAACGGCCTTCTTCCTGTCGGGGCCCATTCCGCACTGCACACGCCGATCCCCGCAAAGAGAGATCTGAACACGCTTTTCCACGGAAATGCACTTTACTGAAGTTCTGCCCTTTCTCCACCCCAAACCGTACGAAGAGACAATCTCTGCTTACAAGATGATGTGCTACGTGCTCTTGTCTGCCTACCCCATGCTGGTCTCTCAAAAGCTGACCCTTCAGCCATGTTTGGACAGCTGCTGTGAGGTCATGGAATGCCCACAGGCATTCCAGCTCCTCAGGATGAGGAAGGTCAGCAGCTGAACAGTTTGCTAGATGTGCAGTTTCTGGGAGGCACTTTGGCTAGGAGGGGCGCAGAAGGAATAGGAGGGAGGCCTCACCTTGCATATAGATGACCAGAAGTGTATAGCAGATGGTCAGCGGGGTCCAGAAGCGGACGGCCTCCGAGGTGGTGAGGAAGTCCCGGTTGATCAAGGCCACAGCCGTCAGGTCAGCCACCAGGAAGGCGACCTTGAGGGCATTGCACAGCAGCCGGGGGATGCCGTGCCAGGTGGTGAGCAAGAAGAGGCAGGCCCCGCAGTAGCGCTCTTTGCAGTGCAACTCATACATGGTGAACACGTGGCGTGCCAAGCGCCAGACGTAGCAGGTCAGGAGGCCGGCCAGGCCCACGCTGAGCAGCAGGTTCCACGTCCGGTGGGATGCCCCCTCCTGGAGGTAGCTGAGGCTGCAGGAGACCCCGCATCCCAGGGAATACTGGCAGAGCAGGAAGAGCTGGCTGCTATGCACCCCCTGGAGAGCCAGGACACAGGGGCTGGCTTGACGGACCACCTGGCCCCCAGCCAGGCCCCCCCCCCCGCCAGAGGATCACCCAGCTCTCTTGCCAGGCGGGAGCACATCCCCTCCCGGGCGGGGCGGGAGGGGGCAGTGACGCCCCCCCCCCCCATGGCTAGGAAAGGCCTTCCTTGCTCGGCCCTGTTCTCTCCGCAGAGGAAGAGCCCAGGCCAAGCAGGGCTACAGCCGCCGCCGCCGCCGCTGCCCCAACCCTCTGGCCAGGAGCCCCAGCAGCCCTGCCCCTCGCGGCAGCCCCCCAGCCAGCTGGGGCCCACACGCTTCTGCCCTCCCAGCCCCAGAGAGGCAGCCCAGGGAGGAGACAGTGTGTGCGTGCGGGGTGGGGAGGGGAGCCCATGGCTGCCCCCCGGGCGACACACACCTTCTGGAGGGAGAGGAGCGTGGCCACCGCGCGGAGGGAGAACTCCAGCACCACCAGGGCCGCCACCCGATACCCGATCACCGTGAAGAGCCCAGTCAGGATGCAGAGGTGCAGCTGGTCCAGCAGGGCCCACTGGCCTCGGACGGCCTCCTTCTCCGCCTGCCGCTCCGGGTCACTGGGGGAGAGTGTGCAGGGGGGGGGAGGTGAAAGGGCAACCACCTGGCGTGTGCCCTGTGGCCGGCTGGAGCGGGCGGGAGGGCACCGGGCAAGGAGGCACAAGGCACAGGGGGGGGGGCCTGTCCGGCCTTTCCTGTTGGGCACTCCTGGGTCCTCTGGGCCTATTTATACCCTGAGATATCAGGACCCTTTGGACTGCAACCCTGGCCGAGCCATGAGCCACCTGCAGAAATGGGCCGGCTCTCACCCCACTGGAGCCCGCCTGGGGCCAGAACACGGGCTGCCCGCAGGCTAACGAGAAAGAGGAGAAGAGATTGGATTTACACCCCGCCCTTCACTTCCCAGAGGAGTCTCAGAGCGATTTACAATCTCCTTTCCCTTCCCAGAACACAACACCCTGTGAGGTAGGTGGGGCTGAGAGAGCTCTTTGGAGGACTGCTCCTGAGAGAACAGCTCTGAAAGAACTCGTGACTGACCCAGGGTCACACCAGCGGCTGCAAGTGGAGGAGGGGTGGGGAATCAAACCCGGTTCTCCCAGATTAGAGTCCGCGCACTTCACCAGGACACCAAGGCGGCATTCGCCGCGGGGGCTCGAGCCTTCTTCCCCTCTCCCTCTCGGGACCCGGCCTCGCCCGCCGACCCGCCCGGGGCTCCTTCGAAGAAGCCCAGCCCGTCTGCCGCCGCCGCCGCCGCCAGCGGCGGGGTGCCCAGCAGAGCAAGCGCAGTTCCCGCAGGAAGCACCGCCCCCCACCCCACCCCACCCC